TATTTCTCCGCTCAAACACCCTTTTGAAGAGAGCATTATATCTTTGTACTAATCCTGTGACCCTGGCTTCAGCATTGACAAAATAGCTGAAGGAAGAATTTATCAAATAGTTACTGCTCAGCTCTCAGAAAGCTGTGGCTGAATAACATAAAGCGTTATGGCAAGGACTAAAAAGGGAGTAAAGTTAGAAGTAAAGCACGATCTGCTCAGAGAAATAAAAAATACACTCTTGTTTATAAACACTATTAATGTTGAGTTAAATTTCAGCTTGAAACTACTTCAGGGAGATTTGACTTACTTTTGTAGTCCTGATAGGGTATAGATAAATAAACAAAAATCTGCTGGGTATTTGCACAGTTTGGGCTTTAGGAAGATCAGTAAGAAAATATTAATTTCTTTTCGGACATAGAAACCTGAATTGTAAAGATTGTTCTAGAGGCGATCAGGGTAAATACAACTTTAATTCTTAGTAAAATCTTGATAGTTCTTAGTTATATTCTGGTTAATTCTTAGTAATGTCTTGATAAAAACACATGACTCAGAGGAAATGAAAATTCCATTTCCACTGACTCAAGGGACTCTGGGCAATTAACTTACTCCCGGTGTGCCTACCTTGAAAACAGAGTTAATGCAAGGTGTGCGTTTCAGGATACAATGCTGGAGTCAGGAAATGCAGCAGGAGTGGAGGCAGGCAGGAGCTGCCTGATTTACTGTCTGTAAAATACCTTGGGGCTTTCAGAGGCAAGAAACTTCACAAATACGGAGTTCCAGTACTACTGTTGAGGGCTGTAAGTTATCACCAAATGTTGGATTTAGTTGGGATTGAAATTTTGAGTTCTTGATTTGTTTTACTGGCACTGTCTTTTAAGAGAGACATTTTCTATACAAGTTCAGGTTATGACTTGACCCAAAAAAAAAAAAAAAAAAAATCTTATGGAAATAAAGCTCTTCAAATATAGGTGTGTTGTCAGTTTGGAGAGACCTTTGCAGTGTTGGTCCAGGCTGAAAACAAAAGCTCTTCTTCACAAAGCAAAACAAATTTCTTGTCTGCCAACCATTTTGTCAGATCACAAAGAGTAAAATTCCAAGTTACTGTTTATTGAAAAGGCTGGCAGGAAATGCTGAAGGGAAGGCAGTCTGATTCCCCCTCCCCGATCTTCCCAAAACGGTGAGGTTGCATTGTTTCTCGAGGTGGAAGATTTAATGTGTTATTTACCTTTTCAGTGGGGAAAAATGAGTGCAGGCTGCAGTCCTTCGCCTGCCAGCAGCATTGTTCGTTCGGGAAATTCCCCCTACATCGGGATAAAACAACTTGCTCTGTATGAAAGAACTCCGGAATAAATCAGTAACTGTCATATATCTTGATCTGAAAATTGGAACATGATTTTGACATAATAGGCTTATTAAAAATTTGGAAAGAATTGGGGATACGTGTATGACAATTACTTTGACCTGCAGGAGCTAAGGAAAGCTTCTGTGTACCTCTCTGTATGAAGTCTGCCTCCTAAGCGCACCCCTTCAAAGGAAAGACACTTGATTCTTCACAAAGATCTGTTTAAAACATTTCATGTGTGTTTTTCTTTCCCCGAGCTGAAGAAAGGGACCCAAAAATAAAGTGCATTTTTTATTTCAGATTGTTTTAAATTTTTAGTAATACCTTTCACTTTAATATCTCCGGGACACATCCGCTGCTGTCCTAGAGATGCTGCTTCTCCAGTGCTGCTGACTACAAATTACCTCAAGTCTTTTTTTTGTTGTTGTTGGTTTTTTTGGTTTTTAAATATGTCGTAGCAGTATCGATGTTTTGTAACACAGGCAAAAGTGCCTTATACTAAGTGACAGTGTTTTGCAGAGCACTAACTGATCCTTTTATTTAGTTATGTCCTGAATCTGGCCCTAAGTGAGAACTGGCAGTGATGCTGAATGAATGATTTGCTTTCTGGAAAATAGCTTTCCCATATAATCTCTGGGAAAATTGTACAGGCAAAAAAAACCTGACTTTGTAACTTGGTGCAAGACTTGCTCACAGTATAAAATTTGGTTTCGTGGTTTGACAGTTTTAGTTGAATTATTTCACCAAGGTCACTTTTCTTTCTCCCATTGAAATTTGTTGCTGACACAGTAGACGGGCATATCTCCAGTAGCCTTAGAACGATCTATAACAGCAGTGAATTCAGCACACAAAGTAGCACTGAAGTGGCCTCATTTGTGTTTTGGGTAGAGCATAACAGAATTAAAAATAGAAATTAATGATGGTGAATTTGTGTTTATTTTGAATTAGGCTTTGTTCTCGTCTGACTTGATTATTAGTTTAATTTACTGGATAAATTATTTGCTCTTGACTAACATTGACTTAGAAGTCTCTGAACATAGCGTATTGATCTTTTCTGAACTCGCATGCTCCCACTGTTGCTCCTTATTTTAGATATATCAGAGTGGATCGAATTTCTGCTACTCTTTTCTCCTTACAGACACGTTTCTTTTTCAGTTGACCAACTGAAAGAATAATCCCCTTTCTTTATGTTTGAGCAAAAAATCAAACTGGTTTTTAATGTCTTTAGCCCTTTGTAAAGTTGCTAGAGCAGACTTAGATGAAAAGGCACGCGCACGGGAGGAAATCTTCGTTTAACGTATTGCTTTGCTCCATTTTCCCTAAAATGCCACTGGAAGCAGGGTAGGTTTTCTGGTAACTCTCACACAGCGAAAGCCTTCCTCCCTGAACGAGCATTGTTACGAGTATCAGATGTTACTGAACGTTGGAACTTGTTTGGGGGGGGAGAAGAAATGTTTATTCCATTCGAACTTGTTTTACCTGGCATGAACATAGCTATTGGAATTCATCTCAAGTACAGTACTGCTGCTCCTATGTGGCTGATGTTTTTCAAGGAAATCATAGGCCTAAAAATAGTCTGCATAAACAACAGTAAGAGGTTTGTACTTTCAGTTCCAGGTTTTAGCAATATCTTGTTGTTATTTTCTAATTGTCAGCTTCCAAAATCCATTAAGCTGATTAGCAGAGTGTTTCAAAACAAAACAAAAAAAAACCCAAACCAAAAATCCACCTCTTGTGGAACCTTGCATAAAATGTTATGCCTAGAGAAATTCAGTACAGAGAGGCTGGGTCATTGTAGTGATCACCTTTATATCTTTATGAACGTGTTAGGTGCTTAACATTTTTCAAGCATCCTCCGACTTGGGAAATTGCCACATGATTCTGAAACTGCCGTCTTAGGGGAGAATATGGTGTGGAAACACTCGGGCTGGTTGGAATTCATGGTTGTTGTACATGTTTAACATCCTCTGTGTACTGAACAAAGAGCTTTACTTCTTTTCCTCTGGATTAAAAAAAAAAAAGAAAAATAAAATTACTTAACAGCCTGGAAGAGATGAGGAAAACCCCAGCTTGCAAATTGCAGAACACAATTTGGCATCAGTTTTATCCCTGTATATCTGTTTCCAGGTCAGCTTTCATGATAGAAATTGTGTCTCATGTTTTTAGTAGCATGTTTAACTAAGATCCATTTTAGTGTGTTTAAAATTCTGTAATTCAGACTAAGGGAAAATTACCTTTCATTTGTCTCTGAAACAAGCTGGTTCCTGGTGCAAAGGCCATTACGCTGAAGCCGCTGTTAAAACCTACAAATATTTCTCCTCTTTCCCCTGCTCTTCGTGAGGTGTTTCAGAAAGTCAGTTGGGAAGCAGGGGCTGAAGCTGAGGGCTAAGGCCCTTGCTGATTTTAATGGGGCTTTGCTTTCTGATTTGTGAATCTGGGACATGGCTATCTTTCCCCCCCCCCCCCCCTTAACTTGTGGCCCCGCCCCCTTTT